AACCCTTCGTCCGTCTGGCCTATAATTAAATGGCATTCATTTGATTTGTTCATTAGGTCAAGCCTCGGCTGGGTTGAAGCAAAACGGAACCCTCTTATTAGTGGTTCATGACTCCACTCTCTCCATGGTGAGCGCTGGAAGCTCTGGTGAAAAACAGCCGAGCAGCAGTGGGAAGCTGAAGCTGTCAGAAAGATTTTCTCTCTTTTTTTTAAAAAAAAAAAAAAGAAGAAGAAGAAAAAAAAAAATCCCAGAGCCCACCTCTTCAAGAGGAGAGGCGGTGGGGAATAACAGTGTATTTTCAAAATGTCAAACATGGAACCAGAAAATTATAGAATACCATAACATTTTTTGGCCAAGGTGATTTATTTTTCCATGCACGTTGTAAGCTGACTTTTCTCCTTCTCTGCACTCTTAAATTCGAACATGACTTTAATCACAGAATATAATATGCAGTTTCATTATCAAGCGCAGCAGGGAAGGATTTAAATCTGGGACTTTATGCTGGAATTTCTAGGCTATTGAAGCCCAACATATTTCTTTAAGCTATAAAATCATAATGAGTCTATCATTTTCACTCCACCTCTGTCAAGCTCGTCTCATTTCTTCCCATTTCAGTGCCACAGGATGATTTAGATAGAGATTTTTGCCTTTGCGTTGTCATTCCTTAGCTTCTTTTTTTAATTACAGGACTGTAATGAAGTTTATCCAGGAGTAGATTTGTGAGAATTCCTGCTGCTCAGGTTCTCGACACACACACTACGAGATGCACTTTGAAGTGGTTACAAATACGTAAATAACTTTGCAACAGAGTTGTGGCTCTGCCTCGAGCAACAGTTGCAAACTGCAGAAAAGTGCAGAAAAAAATCTACTCAGGATTGGTTAATAGTGTATTTCCTTCAGGAAACTTTTTTTTTCTTTTTGGCTAAATATACAAGACAAATTAGCATTTCCTTAAGTTTTGATGACGCTAACCTTTAGTAATGCACTGTAAACAACTTGTTGTGGAGGAAAGGCTGAGGACACATGGAGGAACAAACCTCTGTCCCTTGGGAAACAGGATGTATTATTCACTGCTTTAAGCATCTAGAAGAAAGACACTGCTGTGTTTCTGTCTCCACAGATGTGTGTCAATCCAGCTTGAAGTAACGTTGGCAGGTAATATCCTTCTGTCTAGACAAAGTGGTTGGTGCGCTGGAAGATATCTTGATGCTGTAACGAGTGTCTAATTTTAAAACAGCGGGACTTTCACCTCCAATTGACTAAAGTGGCAAATGGTTACATTGGAAACTGAAAGCGGATTGTTGGACAGCCATTAATGTCAACTAAGGGTGCAGCAGGTGCTGCCCTCCTCTGAAGGGCTGCTTGTTCTCCTACATCTGAAAATGGCTCCACTTTGTCAATATCATCCAGACAAGGGAAACATAGTTTGTGTTAGTTATTTGTGTTAGTTATTTCCACCCCCAAAAAATGTTACATTACAGGTGAGGTGAAGGTGCATCTTATATAGAGGCTAAATCCTTTAAGACCCGCTGTGCTGGGTTCAGTTCCTGGTCTTGGCTCATTTGGTCTTCCCATCTCTCTCCAACGTCTTTCTTGTCAAATTATTGTTCAATTAAAGGTCACAAGTGCCAGAAAATCCTTTAAAAAAAATTCAAAACTACGATAGGTAGTTATCCAATAAGTCTACTATCATATTTCAGTTATCTGAGATTGGGCAACAGGCACAGGAAGGAAATCCAGGTGCCGTTCTCTCAAGCAACACTCCAGTTCATTCTGGGAATCCAAAGAATCTCCAGGAGAAAAAGGGGATGCATCGTTTTTCCAAGTCTTCTCCTCCGTAGGATGAACCAAGATGGCTAATTCCTTTTAATGCAGAGAACTAGTAGCTCAACTTCCACCTTTCTCATGCACCCTCGTCTTTTCTATATGTTTAAGTTCTAACAGGAAATAAATTGGTGCTTGTATTCGGCACTATGTTCTATTGTCCGTAAGACTTAAACCATGACCACAGATGAGGACCGAACAGTAAACGGACTGCTTTTTCACTGAGCTTTTTTTACTCCCGCATGTCAAGGAAGCACCATAATTACCATTGATGGACAAGATCGTAGTTACCTAAGCTCCTTCACTTGAAGCAATCCAGGTTGTTTTTAATATTAAGGTATGGTCCAGATTTTCACACTTTTTGCTTTCACTTAACATCCAAAATATTGCTATGCTTAGTCAGTCCCATTTTAATGCCACGATGCAGCCTCTGCAGTAAATATGTAAACATGTGAGCAACGCAGTGTGGCTCACGTCCGCAAAGCCTTCTGCCAAAATTAGAAATTATGCAGCCTTTTTGCCGGACGCCAAAGTCAATCTTCAGAAATCACACCGCTCCAACCGTAGGAAACTGCATGAGTACAACATCCGTATTTTCAAAATAATTCACCAAGACAGACTACATTTGCCTAAAATACTTGCAATATTTATGCATGCATTAGTTATGGCTATGCATACATGCAAAACATGCAGATTTAATTCTGAAACTTAAGTCAAAATTCAAAGTTACAGCGCCAGTCAAGATAGACAAAGCGGGAGAGCAATGGAGGGAACAATATTAATACCCATCCCTACATACAATGCAGTAATAACATAGTGCCAGTTTTAATAATTATGCAAAAAAAAAAATACAATAAAATTGTTTAGAAACGTTGCATACTGCAGCTCTAAAACATCACCTGCCTGCCCTGTAAAATACATTGGACTGCCTTGGATATGGATGGTGTTAAGCAAATAAACCTGCCTTGTCTTCAGTTTACAACAAATGTTTATAGCAAAGCTCTGAGGCCTTTCGAGAGCAGCTGTATTTATGCTGATATGAAATTACACACATTTGGACTCTTTTCTAATTACATCACTTCTGAAGGCAAAAGATTGCACTGGATATTATTCTAGGGGAATCAGCAGTAAGGTGACTAAACATAAACGTACACGTGGAAAAGATATCTAAAAATATGCAGCGAATACAATAAACACGAAATGTGTAATGTTACCGTTAGAAAATGTGGAAGAGATCAAGAGATATAAATATTTTTGCAGGATATATTCAATACATGTTTAAAAATGCACATGGGTGATCAATGACATAAAGCTGTGGTGTTATTATTTAGACATGCTGAGATGAGATGATAAATGTTTTAGTTCTCTGACGGGCGTTATACCTCAGAGGGTCGAAAGAAGAAGACTGGCAACAGCAGCTAAAACACAAGCTTGTCCAATCAAACACATGCAGTTTGTTTCTGGTTCCTCATATCAGCGGTGTGAAGTGTTGCCTGGGGGACATTTGCAGCGCTTTTCATGATTTCATGAGGCTTATGGCCCCAGTTCATGAACTGTACAAATGTGGCTCACCCACCACAAGCAGATGGACACTTTTTCCAAAGACAAACTTTTCTTCCAACGTCAAAATCTTCCTAAAATGTTAAACACTAAGTATTACTATTGTATTAACCACATTTTTTTTTACATTTTAAGTTAGTAATAATAAGCAGAAGCCCAGAAATCAATCAACTTTCACTGAAAAGTAGATTTGAGTGAGCTCCTTTCTTAAACTTGATTACACACAGCAAGTGCTTTAGAGGAAGAGTGTCCCATGTCCTGTTCTTGTTGCTGAGCACAAACTATAAACGTTTTCTCACCCAAAATACACAAAATAAGGTCCTACAATAATTTATCAATTCTCTGCCAAAGTAAATTGACTATTTGTTGTATTAAAACATGAAACTGTAAGTTTATTTTTGCATTTTTTGAAAAAAAAAAAAAACTAAAGCAAATTGTGACCTGAAAGTGCTTGACAATTTTGGTCCTGCACTTTCAGGACCACTGAAAGCGATGCTGCTTTTAACCTACATTTAAAACAATATCCAGCAGCATCACTTGGCAGACCAAGAAACGGAGGCTTTATGCACCACCAGGGCGTCAGCACCCACTCCCTGCACAATTACTAGATATGGTGCTGATGTAATTAAAGTCCACTTTCAACGCTCCACACACCGTGACCTTTTCCAGTGCAAACAGCCATTGTCTCCGCTAAACCCAGCGCCCCTCCGCTGGGATGTAAATGGATATTTTACGGTGGGTAAAACAGAGAAATTGATCCAGATGATGGCATTCATTGAAAAAATCTGTTGGAACCTCATCTGAGAATCTGATGGTGTTTCACCCCTTATTATTAGTGGCTTTCATTTGCAACTCTGGCAGGAAGATTTAAGAAGCCAGAAAGCCCCCTGATAAGCGCCATTATAGGCCATAATCAGAAGCTATGAAGATGATGGTGATGTTTCCCCTGGCGCCGCGCTGCCAGGTTTTTATTCCGCGTCCCTTGAAACTCCCCTGTCAATGCTCAGCCCTGATAGCAGAGAGGGCTGTTTGTTTAACTTGTCACTGGAACAGCAGCATCGAGAGGGAGGGACCAGACGGAGGCGACGAAGACGCTGGGATTCAGTCTAGAAAGAGCGCAGTCCTCCTGATCACTGATGTGAACCTTAAGGACACTTGAGGCAAACCAAAGAATTACAGAGCACAGCACTCAGAGCAAACTAAGGCTGAGATTTCTTCCCCCCCCCCCAAAACCACCCCTACCGCCACCGCCGCCACAGATAAATGGCTGATTCTTACATCAATCAAAACGCCGAAGTGCAAGAGTCTGCAACAGCAGCATTCCTTTTGTACCTCTAAATGAATCAGGCGCAGGAAGAGAAGCTCGGTCATACGCCACAGATTTTCCATCCAACGCAGGGCCGAGTGTGAGCAGACACAGACGTGTGCGCCCCTTGTCTGTGAAACAGCACTCTATTTTGTTCCATTTAAGCTTTTTATATTCAGTAAGAAGGAGAGGCACAAAAGGGGCCTAAAGCTGTCTTGGGTCATTTAACCACACATTTTCCCTCTTCTCCCAGAATGTGTTTTCTGGCAGTCAATGCACAAAGAGGTGACAGATTAGACGGGGAGTTCCTTTACAGGCTGGCTGTGGGCTTCAGGAGGGTGGGCCCGCTCGCTCGTGCTCGGGGCGGCAGCGCCACGCCTGTCACTGTTTGATGGGCCAGCGCAGGAGTGCAGTCGCGGGGAGGTATGATTGATGATATTATGTACTCGCGCAGGATCCGAATGCCAGCACACTCCTGTGATTTAATCCCTGTTTCTTCATTAAACATCCAGGCAGAGCAGATGGACTGCACAACATCCAGGCTTCGCTTTCCAAGAGGCCAAAGCCAGACCAACGTTACTAATTGATTCTCATAGACGACTCATGCAGAATGTAGCTTAATGCACAGAGAGACAACGTGGCGCAGTTAAAAAGTATTTACCTCTCTCAATTATTTGACTTTTGTTGCTTTGTCATACGTAAATGTTTCATCATAAAATACTTTTGAAATTAAGACGGAGACAATGTGAGTAAACGCAACGCATAATTCTCAATTTAAAAGCCCTATCCGAACCAACCAAGCTCATGTGACAATATAATTACCCCTCTAAGATTGATTATGAATTACCTGTGATTAATCACATTTTTCAGTTTCATTTGGTACCACTGAGAGCTTCCTAACTTATAGAATCAATAAATTACTAACTGGTTCAGGCCACAGATGCCTCTGCTAATGTAAGTGTTCACGATTTAACAATAGAACAAAACTGGTCAGATATTTATCCCATAACAAATCTTCAAGACCAAAACCAATTTAGACCAAAAAAGAAACAAAAAACAGGGAGATCCATCTGTGGGAAAAAAAAAAAAAACATTGAGGATCCCCCATGAGTTTTGCAAAATATTACAGTATGTGGACTGACAAAGTGAAACTTCTCGTAAGGTGTGTGAGAGTGTGTAGTATTACATTTGGTGTAAAAACAACATAGCATTTCTGAAAAACAAAGTCATAAGTCATTATACAGTAAAACATGGTAGTAGTGTTGTGGTCTAGGAGATTTGATGTAATTCATGAATTCACCCTTCAGCAAGAAAAGCCTGGAAGCATGATGCGAGTTTGTAACTATAACCTTAGAGTTCTTGCAATGCAGAATAGTGATCCACAGCAAAACAGCAAGTCAATCTCTAAACGGCTAAAAACAAAAACACATAAGTGGGCAATGTGGTGTAAAAAAGACTGGACTTCCATCAAATTCAAATGTTTTTTATCATCTCATTTGCTTTTTGTATTTATTAAGGTTATAATTTCTTACATTAGGTTGTATTTTATCACCTAAAAAACAGAAACAGAAGAACCATTTCAGGGGACAAATAGATTGCAGAACTGCACAAATCATTCAAAAAGCAGCACAGACTTAAGTGATGTGGAAAAAGTCAAAATTAGAAACTTGTAGAAATCCCTGCCTTAGTCATCATAAGTGTTAAAAAATATTTACTGCAGTAAAAATAAAATCTGTACCACACTGACAATTTAGTTTTATGTACCTTTGGAAAAAAAAATCAAAAAGGAAATTAATTTGACTACTTCTCCTGTGCAACAATGACCCCTAGTGTTAATGCAAGAAACCGCATGCTTTGAAACCTAAGCATCTCTCTGCACAAATGCCAATACCAGAGACGTGGTAATCCCTTTGCCTCATGTTAAAGTGTAAAACAAGAGGGTCAAGGTATACATTGACAGCAACCCCGATAATCCAAACTTCTGAACGAGCATTGAGGCTGTCAGACACTAAATCCAAGGAAAAGCACAGCTACACAACCCAGATTAAGCCAACCATCCCCCAGTCAGACCACAAAGGCTTCTTTGTACTTGGATGGCATATTTAAAAAGGAGTTGAATTGTTTTGGCTACAGTTTTCAATTACAATTTGTTCTCTCTAATAAAAAAAAAAGAGGGTTATAAAATCTCTCTTAAATATTCGAGACATATTTTATTTAAGCGCACGAGTAGAAATTCACAGCCAGAAATAAAGCGTTGGATTGGCGTTTGCAACATTTCTCAATTAACTCAAAGTGAAACAGTTTCAACACTTTTTCAGAGAACAGGAAAAACTACCGGTGCTCCTGGAGACACACAACGGCGGCTTAAAGAGGAGGTCGCCCCCGACGCATCACTGGCAGCGACAAATTATCATCAATAGCACTCCACCACATTACCATCAATCTCTCTTTTGAAAGACAAAAAGTATCCCTCCATGCTAAATCATGAAATCAATGCATTTCTATCACTGAGAGGGATCGGTGCTCCAGTGGTCTCTGTGGGTGAGTAATGTGAAATCCATGGCAGGTTAGTGCTCGTGGCCCGGACATGATCAAAGACAAGAGCCCAGAAAAGTTTGTATTGATCAGCCGTCACAAAGCGGCAGCTGAGGAGTGGAAATGTGATTGGAATTTGAAACACTGGCAACTGAAGACAAAACGACTTGATCTTCTGAGGAAAACACACCTATTGGCTTGTAGCATAGTACTGATTTACTGCAACTGCGGAGCTATGATTGTTGGTCAGATTTTCAGAAGTGACTATCATCAGCTACTCTTTGGAAGCGTAACTTTGTATTATGAAATCCGGTTGTTAAGCAGTCGTGGGGAAGCTCAAATTTTCAAAGATGTGGAGGTCAAAGGTCCAACTTAGCTTAACAGATTTTTTATTCTTGAAGCATTTGCTCTAATGAGACGACACCTAGAAAATAAATGTTAATAGATAGAGGTGTAGTAGTACATATAGTGGTACTGAATCTTATGGTCTGTACATCACTTATTAAGAGGGTTCACACATGTTTTTTCATTGGATTTTGTTAACCAACAGAAAATTAGTTGATTAAGCTAACATGTAAAGCACTCTACGCCAAAACGGTGCACGAATGGATGGTAATGAAATGTGGGCTGGACTCCCATCAACCACTTTTTTTATTTATCTTTTTTTTCCTCATCATTAGAGAGCAATGACACGGTGGTAGCTGTGATATGGGGAGAGTGAATGGGCAGCCAAATAATTATATAACGACATGCTGCTTCTGTATTTATTTTAAACCCTTGAAATCTGAAGTTACTTTTTAAACTTTAGAGCTCGTCATGCAATATTTGCTGCTACAAATAAAGTGCAATAAGCAACATTAAATACCCTACAAGGCATTGTCAAACACTTAATAAATACTAATTAGTTTTTAACAAGTGACTCCTAGTGTTCAAACATTGTAACATCAGGTCGGTGAGTGTTAAATATTAGTGACTTTTCACTTTGATCTTTTTGTAAAAGGAGAAAACAAAGTCAGTTCTTGCTCACTGGCCATACATGTTTGGATGAAGGTTGTACTTTAATTTTGCATTCAATTTTCATTTGGAATCACAAATGTCCAAGATACAAACTGAAGTGAAAATTGGACAAAAGTGGAAAATATGAGTGGCAATCTCAAATCCAATGACTTCTGCTCATTTAAAAAGTAAAGCTAGCTTTAGTAGTAAAGCTGTCTCCTGGTTTTGACCTCATTAAATAATTTTCACATGTAGTACTGGTAGTGGATATGTTCATTAGCACGTAAGAACAGAACTACACTGACTAGAATTGCTAACAGCAGTTAGCTTGTCACTGAGGATAGCAGTTAGCATATTCCACTAGTTTGATTAGCAAATAGAGAGTAGCAAGGTTAGCTTCTGTTTCATCATTAGAACCATGTTCTGACTTCAGAGAAAGATGGCGACTAAAACTTGTTCTTGGTTCTCTCTGCTTCGGGTTACACAGTGAGTCCTCAGATTGTTCACCACATTTTTAGTGTAGTTTGTACTTGAAGTCAGTCTTATGGCTGTAGTTTACTTTTATTTTTAGCAGAATTTCTCTTGAGCACTGCTAAAAGCTAGTCAGGTAACAACAGAGTTACTTATAATACAGTGCACACAACTACAGGACTGTTACTTTCTCTTTCACTTAAACTGCATAAGAATTTCAAAAAGTTTTTATTTTTAAAGAAATTACAAGCTTATCAACTGTACCACACAATTCGGCATTATTTGCTGTTGCTAACGTAGAGTTAGTTCCCTGTTAGAAGTGTGAAAGAAACCGAGTACTTGATCGTTGCATTTGCTACATTTTGCTATTGTACCAAACTTGTACTGAACCATGACCCAATAACTCGGTTTAGTCCTGGACCGTGATATAGGTGTATGGTCACACCCCTATTAATACATTTTTGGGGGGGAAAAGTGAAGCAGAAATCCTTACCTTTGGCCACTTGGGATTGAGGCCACAGGCTTTTTCAGCATCCTCCAGAGCTGCTTGGTGCTGGCCCAGCTTGAGGAACGCTGCTGATCGATTACTGTACAGGATGCAGTTCTGTGGGTCGGCCTGCAAAGCATCGCCGTACAAATGCACTGCCTCCTGGAAGTCGCCCCTCTGACACGCCTCGTTACTCTGCCGCACTTTCTCCATGAACTCAGCCTTGCTTAGTGCACTCCTCGACCCGTCGTCCACGGCAACGCACCGAATGGGCCTTCCCGCTGTCCGAGAACCAAAGACAGAAAACTGGAGAAATAGAAAGAGAGACGAATTAACTTGACTAGAAAAAGTGCCAACAAAGAACATAACAGGGTTTTTTTTTGTTTGTTTTGTTTCGTGTGGTTTTTTTCCCTTTCCCAGGACCACAGGTGAAACTAATTTTGTTAACAAAGGCTGTGCTCCAACGAGCCTTCTGGTAAAACCACAACAAGCAGCCAAATAAACCTGGATATTCCAGTGCTGAGCTCAGCCTGCCAAAACGCCTGCTGTCCACTGACACACAAACAGCAGCTGAAGTGTGAGGGAATGCTAAGAGAGTCGCACAAATTAAGCCTTTCGTCTCGCATCAAATGCAGATCTTCAGTTAATTTTTTAAAAAAAAAAGCCAAATTCTAGACTTAATTTCAGGTGTTAATGAAACAAAACAGTGGTTTCTATATTTTAACTATTGACATTCTAAAGTTGCTGATAGAAACATGGAGATTCTGACATTTTTCATCTACAAATTAATGTTTTTTTTTCAAATGAGTTATGTCCTGCTCTAAATAAATTTAACAGACTTTAAAAGAGTCTAAGATGACTTTAGTTATGAAATATTTCTCTTTGTTGCCGAGAAACTGATTGTGATCAACAGTAAAAATTAGCAAAACGTCTTAAAATAAAGCTACAATAAGCATGATTTTGAAGTTGCGCAATCTTTCACTGAACATTTAAGAAACCTTTAATTTTTGTTGTTTGTTTTACGTTAAGTCATAGCCGGCACCATTATTGGCATCCTGGTCAATAATTTGAATAATCCCCTTTGCGGTCAGGGCACCACACACGTTTTCACCAAAAAACATTTCTCAAAACTGAAGTAAAAAAAGTCTTTGTCTACTCTTCTTTGTCCAATCTCTTGAGATCATCACATCCCAGTTTCTCTCTTTTGCTCGCTTCGTTCATCAACGCACGTTCTCTCCGGTGTTCATGAAGAAGGTTGATTTTGTGTCTGGTGAATCATTTCTGTGATACTTTGAGCGCGTGTTCTGTATCACTGTCTCCCCCTAGCAGTTTACTCAAGCCAGTTTCTGGTGTCTGTCGCAGGCTGCATTTTGAAGAGTTCACGACACCGTCCATCCCAGCAACACATAAAGACAGATCCGAATCATGGATTACGACTGTCACCTTCATGACTTAAGACACTTTTCAACCACAGACAATGTCCAAAGTATCTTGCCTAAGTGGGAAACTTCATGAGCACTTCATGGTTATGGAGATATTGGTTTCATTTTTCCAAAAATACAAATTCCTCCTTTGAAGACCACAGTATCCCTGTGCTTGATTGGATCATAAACTTGCCTGACCTAATAATTAAGATGCTTACAGACCATTTTTAAGGGGAACATGAGAGACACCCCAGTCAACAATCCCATATCCTGTTCGGTGACTACGAATTATTACCATCAGCAAAACGCTGCATTCAGAGGATGGCAGGGAAGGCCTTTTATGGCACTCCTTCAAGTCGTTTTTATTTTATATATTCACTTTTATTAGGTGGTACTGATGTTTTAAATCGTTTAAATCGGTCCAAACTGTATTCTTATGATCTGTACTGTACGTTTATGTCAGTATCTTATTGTCTGTATCTTGCACTTCTGCTCTCAATGAATTTCCCTTAGGGGACAATAAAGTATATCTAATCCTATCTTATCTTAATAATGCAGTCAAACTAAACATTGCCATGAAAGCAGCCCAGGCTTCCTGGACACCTCAGCAGAGAGCTACGGGTTAATCTCCTCCATGCCATGCTGTATTGCCATGTGATTCATGCAAAAGAAGCGCTGTGTGAGATTATAGTAGCGCAATAAAAATACCCATTTTAAAACTTTCTTGAAACTGCAGCTCACTTCAACGTGCTTCTGCTGCTCGCATCTGTTAGAACTGTATTTATCTGGACCCAGCTGTTCAAACAGGCATCGGCAGAGTAAAACTGAACCCAATAAAGACACAGACGAACTTCCTCCTTCCTGGCTCAACCTGAGTCCTCCTGTGCTGTTGCGTTTCGTTTATCCCTGCTGCCTCAGTCCCTCTCCGAGCAGGAGGAGCAGCTAACCTGACTCTAGGTCTCCAGCGACGGCACAATAACCGACTGATTGCACAATGTAGGTTAGCGTTGTTAACAAAACGTTCGCCGAGAGTTACTAAATCCAGAAATCCATCTTCGGCCTCTCATTTCTGGAGCCAGCGTCCACTGCACCTCTTTTCTCACCACACCTCCTCCAGCTGAATTGTGGGATAGGGCAAGCTTGGTAATTACTTCCAGAGGCCCACAGAGAGAGAGAGGACCCGCTGAAATGAGAGCTCTGTGGATCAAGTGAGTTCAACGTTAAGCAAAGTCACAACGCGGCATCGGTGCTACTCAAAGGGCTCGCTGGTCTCTCTGCACGGCGAGCATGTGAACATTGGTGAATGCCTCAGTAGAGCTGCAGGTCACCTGGAAGCTCTGTGCTGTTCCCATGGTGGACTTTAAGGCTTGGAGCAAACACACATACGCAGCGGGTGAGTGGCATCCGCTCTGCAGGCGTCACCCATGCCAACATGCACCCAGCGAAGTGTCAGGAGAGGGATCTGTAATAGATCAGAGGTCCCATGCAGCTTTCTCCTTCCCGAGGAATCTGCAGCAGCACACTGGGGGCTGCCTTCTGTATGTGGGCAGCACTGGCAGGAAGGGTGGAGATGGGAGAGATAATGAGAGCCTGCACCAACACAGGATACACACACACACACACACACATACATACACACATCAGAGCACAAAACACACACATACTTCCAACGTGATCACACGGAGATCCACTCAATTCCACTCAGACTTAATCATGCAGACAGAGAGGTCAGATCGGGGGATTATGAGGGAACCAACTTTCTGCTACACACTATGTAAGCAATGCAAGCTTCTAAGACAACAATAATACGTGTTTTTGCACGATTGGCCCTTTTTTTTTGTTAATAATAAAACAAAACCCTTTCATGCTGTTTAGTGTCTGCTCCAGTAGTCCCCAGACGTCCACTGCGCAGCCCAGGACGCACGGCTGGAAAATCGATAGATTTTTACGAGGTCATTTTGGAATTTTTCTCCCCTGGATGCGGAGCAAAAATATACACGGAGCAATAAAACGGACCCAAAAGAAAAGAGTGAGAGAGAGAGAGAAAAAAAACGCGCAAAGCCATTGTTCTGGAAAGCTGTTTACCTTTTCTTTCAGAGTCGCTTGCTTCTCCATCCTGGCTGACTGCTTGTGTTTGTATAACGGCTTATCGGTCTCATCCCATCCCAGTCTCTGCAGATTTAGTGTCGAGTTTGTGTGTGTGTGTGTGTTTGCGTGTGTCTGTGTGCAACAAGAAGTGCTTCAAAGTTTGTCCAAAGAAAGTCCTCTTTACGTCGTAGAAGATGGTCGATAAGCGCCAAATGAAGTCCACGAAAAGCTGAGCTGCATACGCTGTTCAGGAGAAACTTTCGTCAAGGAAAGTGCGCCATGTTGTCAAATCTTTTTCCTTTTTTTTTTCCTTTCCTTTTTTCTCCTTCCTTCTCTCCCCCTCTTGCCACAGCGGATCTGCTGCGCGCACAGAGGAAGGATAAAGTTCCTAAATCAGGCCATAATGCATCGGTTAGGTGTGCAGATGAATGAGCAACTCTTTGTAAACTGTTTGAGAAACTTTTTTTTTTCTTTGCGCAGAATTTATGTTGTGATTTTCTTTTCCAATCATCCCCTGGGACATGTTTTTTTTTGTTTTTTTTTGTTTTTTTACGTGTCCATTCAAATGGACAGCATTGCACGTAAAATTACTGTAAATTAAATTTACTAGTAAAATATACAAACGTGCAGCTGTTTGAAAGAAACAAATCAAACGCTAACTTTGCTGCATATGCTGGTCCATGCTCAGTGGGAAATCTTTTATGTTCCCATGCATGAACCATTAGGCTATGCATAACGCTGGATATTAGGAGTTTTTTTATGTCACAAGAAAAACTCTGTGGGTTTTTATATCAGAACTTCAGTCAGCTGAGTTGGTTCAAAAACGTTTTAAATGAAACCTAAAGTGTACAACAGAACTTTGTCATTAACTATTAAACAGATATTCATTTAAAATGTGTGTAAGGAAATATCTTCTGTCTGCTTCTATTAGATTCAAGAGGAAATGTAGCAGCTAGGAGCTGCTCATAAAAGCATTTGATTAGCTGATCATTAGTACCTCTATAAAAGCAGGAGTTAGTGCCGTGGCGTTGGAGATTTTTGGTCTCTAGACTCTATCTTCTGTCTCAGACATGTTGGACTTTTATCAGCTGAACTATCCCCCTTTATTTCAATCAAGCCTGCCACTTGTGCTGCTACCAGTTTGCACTTAATGGGGGGGAGGGGGGGAATAAAAGCATGACACACCACTGCAGAAAGTCTGGAGCACAGTCTGTGGTGGGCTTGCTAGTTTGCAACAAATACATTATTATGATCATGACACAATAACAGGAGAACATGTGAAATGCGATGATGTGGGTGAATGTCATGGTAATAACATGACATGTGATAAACAAACGATAAATTTGTGTAAATATCTTTTTGCTACTGAACAACATCTGCAGTTTTAGGACTTTCGTTGTAGTTTCTTCATGATTTGACAGTCTTACCAACTCTGTCTTCTACAACTCAACAAAAACCTCGGCAACAGCACTGGGGAAGCAACTGGCTTATCTGTTAACAAGCTGAAGTTAGAAAAATGAAAAAGGTTATTCAGAAGTGAAGCCTTACAGACAACATTGCCTGTCGTTGTCTCAGCAAACGAATGGGTGTAAGCTATTGTCGCTACCGTGAACATAGATAAACTTCACATTTCAACATGTCACTGTCCCATTGTTAGCTTCCACACCTCCAACTACACCACCAAATACTTTCCAACAGTCATCTAAGTTACTGAAAGTAGTGAATCTTCATCTTTCTGCAGCGTAGAGGACAGACAACTCACCGCATGAACGAGATGATAACTTGCTTCTAGCTGATATTTTATTGCTGCTGTAGGTCACTAAGATGCATGTAAGCAGTTTTTATTTAATTATTATTTACAGCTACTTACATGGAAATAGAGTATACTTAAAGTAATATTACCATAGTTGTGGTTTGTGGTTCAAGGATCTGGCCATAAAGTGGCCATTTTGGCCTTGCAGGAAACACTGCCGGAAAAATTATAAATAAGGTGCCATTTTGGGTCTCTATTTTTGTTGAATAGATGCACCTAACGATTTTATGTAAAATTGTTCAGTTGTTGTGCCAGTGCATAAATCAAAAAGTCAACACAGGCACATTTCCACGCAGAGCGACTCCAAATGAGTCAGACTGGATGTCCTCTTGTTATAAAACATTGCTGACCATCACATTAACCATGATGCCATCTCTAATGTTAAATCGCTAGTAAGTCCATGCACAGTTCTGGCTCCAAAGTGCACATGAAACCAGATTCATATATTTCTTGCAAGTGCAGATCCTCACCAGGAGGTGGTGTGAGAATCTTTAACCAGGAAGCCTCCGACCTGGTGACTGACAGTCATGGTAGCTGTTGATTTAAAAATAGGAAAATGCATAAATACACATATTAACTGAAAACATTTCACAAATTCTAACGGAGAATTTTCAGGCTATATGTCTTAAACTTAGTTAAAATCACACCTTAAGGAAGAATAAGAGAATTGAATAAGCAGCATAGTTTTGATCAGAGGAATTCTTGATTGATGATCAATAGATAAGACAGGTTCTGAGACCTCAATCCACTTTTTCTCTTTAATGTGTTTGACTGAACCAGGTTTCTCAATTCTTTCAAGAAAAGGTTTAGAAAGAGAATCCAGAATAATTACTTTTTTCAAGCCTTAGATTTGTTTCTAGCTTATAGAATAATGTTGCTTTCTTTCACACAGAGTGATACATGTGTTGAATTAGGTCAAATAAATAATAAGAGCATACGTTAATCAGGTTTTTCATTATGTAACACATACAAGAGTTCAAATAGAATATATTTTTTTCCACTTTAATATAAATAAACAGGCCTTGGCAGATAAAAGGCAACTGCAAGTCCATGTCAACAAAAAAAAAAAAAAAAAAAACCCTGAAAAGCTGAGTAAATCTCAACACTGCTTGCATCATGTTTAAAACAAATTTGCTTTCAGCATGGACAGATATTTTCAGCCCGCCAAGTAGACAGATTTTACAGCCCTGTGTCCGGCTCATCAGCCGAAACTCCGGCTCATTCAGGTTTGAACCGTCCACTCACCCAGGACCGGCCCAGAAAGCTGCTTTTGGCAGCTGCTAAAATTGTCTCGCCTCTTTTGGCAGTGCCAGCTGTGAGCACAATTCCTTTAGAGGGGGGACAACATGCAAATGCTTAACCGTAAAACTGTCATGTTGTTCCCTTCAAAGGTGGGGAAATGATGATTATGCTGATTCACGCAAGAGTTAAAGCGTTTTTTAAATAAGATCCGGCTGCAGGAGTCCTTTCATTTGGTCCCTTTTGGGTGGTGAACAAAGCTAGGACAAAATAAACTGCTTGAAAATCTAAATGAATACATCTGATATTGACAGGTTTTGTCAGCTCGAAAGACTGGGATAAAACGCATTGGGTGAAAACTCGTTGATCTTCACCCCATCCCATCCTGGCAGTGACTGGGGAGGGGTCCGCTTCTCAGAATGCCATCAGATGATTGGATGGAGGTGTGTCCCCTTTGGTAAGCCCACTCTTAAAGCAGGTATATATTGATTTTACATACACAAAGTCCAGATATAAGAGCTTTGAGGATAAATCACATCCAAACCCCTGCTTGATTCCCTGTCCTGCTCAGGTAAGTTGAAGCACTCTCAAAGCAGAGAGCAATGAGGAGGGGTGGGGGGGGATCAAAAGATCCAAGTTTCCATGTGGACTTAACCTCTTAACTGGGTTTGTTCCACCTGTGGAACAAATCTAGTGTGTCTGAATTCTCTTGCCTTTTTCTCCTCTTTAAACTCTGCTGGTGTCCCTTATGACGCTTTTATATGTTAGCCTAGAGCACCCCCTAGTGACTGACACTAGGGTGGTTTGGGTGGATGGGGGCAATAATGTTATGAAATGGCTTTTTCCGAGCCAATAATATCCAAAGTGCGACTTGAGCTCATTTTGATATGCCTGTATTCTTTCTGGAATATTTCTGACTGGTCAAATCCGAAACTAAATCTAAAGCCACCGATGTGTAGCCAACACCTGTCCTGTCATAAGGATATGAGGCTTTTTTTTTTTTTACATGAATCCACCAGCTGCATGCGTAACCATGCGCAATGTGTGCGCCTGTGCTGCGTCAAAGTCAGGCTCTGTGCGCCATCATGCGTCCTTATGCGTAACTGTGTTTACAGGACTTTTTCTGTCCAGTAAAGACAGGACAGAAAGCTCTCTCCGTGGCTCAAATAAGAGCCACGGAGAGACACGTTGTTAGAAGGGGGAGGGGCGCTAATGAGTCATCAATGAGGCGCTAATGGCCCATCAATGAGCACTCAGTCCACAATGAGGACTGTGACTCTTCACTATTGTTTACAGGAAAGCCTCTCTGTGGCTCAACGAAGAGCCACGGAGAGACACGTTGTTAGAACGTGTGGAAACTGGATGTATTTCTTCAGCAGAACTTCACAACTCATGGGAGTGAGTTGTAAAGTTCACAACTCACTCCCAGGAGTTGAATATGATTTATCGTTTTAGAGTTGAAGAAAAATTTCCTCGTTGATTGATTGAATAGTTTCATCTTATTTTTTCCTATATATAAGACTCTACCAACAAAAAGTCTCTCAATAATATACATGGCACTGCAAAAACAAAAATGTGAATTTTTGCTTATACCTGTTTAACAATCCTGTTTGTAACAACCTCAGTTGTTATTCTGCTGTATCTAATTCATTTGTTTGTTATTGACTTTTGCTCAATTAAATTTCTTACGTATGCATTGTGAATGGTATTTTTATTATAG